ACATCTGCTAGGGCAAAGAAAACTAAGGAGAATATAAACACATGGGACTACATCAAAATAAAAAGCTTCTGCACACAGCAAAGGAACCATCAACAAAACAAAAAGATCGCCCACTGCATGGGAGAACATATTGGGCAATGATACATCTGATAAAGGGTTAATATCCAATATACATAAGGAACTCATACAACTTAACAAAAGGGAAGACAAACAATGCAATTAAAAAATTGACAAAGGACCTAGATACCTCCAAAGAGGACATACAGAAGGCCAAGAGACATATGAAAAAATGTTCAAAGTCACTAATCATCCAAGAGATGCAAATCAAAATGACAATGAGGTACCATCTCACGCCTGTCAGAATGGCTTCCATCAACAAGTCAACAAAGGACAAATGCTGGTGAGAATGTGGAGAAAAGGGAACCCTAGTACACTGCTGGTGGGAATGCAGACTGGTGCAGCCATTATTAAGAACAGTATGGAGTTTCCTCAAAAACCTAATATGGAACTGCCATTTGACCCAGTGATCCCACTTCTAGGAATATAGCCTGAGAAATCAGAAACACCAATCAGAAAGAAGGTATACACCCCTATGTTTATAATACAATAGCTAAGATCTGGAAACAGCCCAAGTGCCCATCAGTAGATGAGTAGATAAAAAAGCTGTGGTACACTTATACCATGGAATACTATGCAGCAGTAAAAAAAAAAAAAAAAAAAAAAAAGAATCTTTAACCCTTTGAGACAGCATGGAGGGACCTAGAGAGTATCATGCTAAGTGAAATAAATCAGTCAGAGAAAGACAAGTATCACATGATCACACAGGGCAGTCCCAGGGAAGGCAAGCAGCGAGGCTGGGAGGACATAACCTTTACTGGGCAGGATAATCTCCTTCAGTCACTTCCTTGTAGCCTATCAGTAGAGCAGTGACCTTGGAATAGCCCTGGTAATGGAACACAAAGATTAACCTAGACAAGATTAAACTCAGCGGAACTAGATAGAGACAGGATTTTTGGCAAAGGTCAGATAAGAAACAAGGAACTGAAAAACGTTACCCAAAACATACCATGATGTGATTATAGAGGCATGCTTATAGGATCAAATGGTATAAATACAGATGTAACAGGACAATAAAGAGAGAACCTGGCTATGATGATCAACTGAACGCTGCCTCCGTATCATTCCTTTTTCACCGACTCCGTCCACACCTTTGGGAACCCCTGGACCTGCTGGGGCTGGACCCCAACACCTACCTGTGCATAAATTCATGCACCGCGCCTCTAGTTTGATTATAATCATTCACATGTTCATCTCTTGAAAAACTGTGGGAGCATTTTATTTATATTCGTTAAAATATTGATGTTTAAGATTTTTGAGAAATATACATTTTTATTTGAATGAAAACCAAATACTTAAATAAAATTCCTTATCAGTATGGAGAGTATGGCCTTTAGCCTAAAGGTTGCAACCAATGACAGAAATGCTATCCATTCAGAGGTGTGCATTACACCTAAAATTCAAACGACTTTTTTTTGTTATATATATATATCTCCTATATAATAAAAGCCAAGTGGCCAAAAGGACCAGAGACCAGAACGACACGGCCCTTCACCCCAGCGGGCAGCCCCCCAGTGAGCGGATAGGGACGATCAGGCAGGCAGGCGAGCAGTTAGGGATGATCAGGGAGGCAGGCAGAGTAGTTAGGGGCAATCAGGCAGGCAGAGTGCTTAGGGGCAGTCAGGCAGGCAGGCAAGTGGTTAGGGTCAATTAGGCAAGCAGGCAGAGGCGGTTAGGGACAATCGGGCAGGCAAGCGAGTGGTTAGGGGTGATCAGGCAGTCAGAGGTGGTTAGGGGTGATCAGGCAGGCAAGTGAGCAGTTAGGGGCCAGTGTCCCGGATTGCAAGAGTGATGTCTGGCAGTTGGACATCCCCTGAAGGGTCCTGGATTTTGAGAGGGCGCAGACCGTGTTGAGGGCCTCCCCCTCTGCCCCCCTCCCCACCCCTCTCCCCTGGTGCATGAATTTCATGCACTGGGCCTCTAGTATATATATATTTAATTTCAGAGAGAAAGATAGAGGGAGAGAGAGATAGAAACATCAATGATGAGAGAGAACCATTGATCAGCTGCTTCCACACTGGGGATTAAGCCCACAATCCGGGCATATGCCCTGACCAGGAATCAAATCATGACCTCTTGGTTCACAGGTCAACGCTCAACCACTGAGCTATGCTGGCTGGGCCAAATAACTTTATTTTAAAACAGGAAATGGAAAAAATAGTTTCTGGACAAGAAAAAAATTTTTGTGGGTACAGTATGGGTAATCATGTTACACCAAATCAAAAACAAGACACTTAAATAGTTGTTCTACGTAATTTTTTTCCTTTTTGTTTCAAGGTAATTTTATCAAAGAGCTTCAGAGTCTAATCTCTGAATGGCAATTTCTAAATGAAAGGGTGGGCAAAGATGTCTAAATTTACAAGTCAATGCTCTTCCCCAAGTCTTCACTATTATATATAAAAATATTAGGAAAAGAACGTATTCAACATCACAGTAGTATTTGTCCTTAAGTGTGTTGAAACAAGAGTCTGGTAAACCTATGGACATGATTATCCTGGTCTTTCAAAGCTGGCATTCCCCAACAGCATTTGGAGCCCTGAGGGAAGCCCAGGCTTACATCAGATCCATTCAGAGATGGGTTAAAGGCCAAAGTAAATGGAAAAGAAAGCAATAGTAAGGTGGGAAGATAAACTGTCCTAGGCCACATAACTTTTCAAATATGTTATATCCAGTCAATCCATTTATAAATAATGACAAAAATATTATTTTCCTACCATTTTGGTTGTTATTCTAATTGAACATCATTCTTCATTTCCCCCCCCCAAATTTCTTAAGTGCATTTTAGCACTCCAATGTGCAAAAGTAAGTAATTTATTAAGTCTATTTTTCCCTAAAATTGTATTTCTTATGGCCAAATTAAGTTAACAGATATCACTCCCAACTCATCAATTTATAGCCAAACAATGTATTCCTTTCCTCCTGGTTTGGGGTAAAATAGTATCAAGTTTATTTTAAGTAAAGAATGCATCTTCCTTTTTTAAAAAAAAAGAACGGTTAAAAACAAACAAACAAACAAAAAACCCAGAATGCATTTTCCTACCCGAGGAAGGAACTAATTTCCTTGGAATGGCCTCATACTTAGAAATTAATAAATAAAGAGATAAAGATACAACGAGATAAGGAGATAAATAAATAATCTAAATAAATGAATATAAAAAGCCACCCCCTAGACAGGTGGTTATATACACAGATCGCTGCCCACAACTGAGAGGACAATTCCTTTCACCTGAGTTTTTCTCAAAGTCTAGGCGAGATGGAGTAGATTTCCCCTGGAATATTCTGACAAAAGAAAACCGAGTTTTCTTGCAGCTCCCCAGTACAGCGCCTGTGCAAGCTGTTGCCAAAGACCTGCCTGTAGGGTCAGCCTAAGCACATGGCTCCATTACTTGGGCACAGACAGGCCCATTCGAGGCAGCCTGTGTACTAAAGTGAAGAAGGATTACATGGGTCCTGGCTGGTAGCTCAGTTGGTTAGAGCATTGTCCTAGGTCAGAGCGTATACAAGAACCAACCAATGAATGTACAAATAAGTGGAACAACACATCGATGTTTACCTCTCTCTCAAATCAATTTTTTAAAAATGATTACATGATCTTTGGGGTTCCTCCAGCTCCCGGATTCTATAGACAATAAAGGATGAGGGGCCTTAGCCAGTTTGGCTCAGTGGATAGAGTGTTGGCCCATGGACTGAAGGGTCCCTGGTTCGATTCCAGCCAAGGGCACATACCTTGGTTGTAGGCTTGAACCCCGTCCCTGGTTGGGGCATGTGTGGGAGGCAACCAATTGATGCGTCTCTCTCACATGGATGTTTCTCTTTCTGTGTCTCTCCCCTCCCTCCCACTCCTCTAAAAATCAATGGGAAAATATCCTTGGGTGAGGATTCTAACAACAACAACAAGGATGAGGGGGGAAGAGGCTCCTTTGTTCTAAAGTCTGTATGTCTGTACCTCACTCTCCTGCAGCCAGGAGAGCAGACAGGTGGGGGAGGCTGTTCTTGCTGCGCTGGGCTTCACCTGGTGGAATCCTCTTCCTGAATCCCTCTCAGTCCAGAGTCTGTCCTGGGTTAAGACCTGCTTTGGGAGGAAGGATGGGTGTATACACTAACCAAACCGAGACCCATCTATGAAGTGACAGTGAGCAAGATCTAGCAAGAGTACAAGCACTCTCACCCTGACCCTGGGCTTCCCGCCCTGTGGGCATCGCCGTGGAAAGCAGGTGGTTTTTAAAAGCTGGCGTGTTTGTCGAGGACTTCTAAGGACCACACTCCCCAAGCGGCTCAGGGAAAAGCTTGCTGCATCACCTACAGGACCGAGGAGCACCTGCCTCCAGGTGGGGGGGCTGATCCCTGGTTCAGAACTGCTCCTGGACTTGGGGAGCCAGACCAGCACTCTCCCCAGAGTCTCCCATTCCTCCCTTCCCCGGCTGACCAGGCCCTCCGTCAGTCAGCGGGCCACTCCTTCTTTAGATGTGCTAATGCCTTCATTCACCAAGGATGGGCGCCCTGAGCGCTGAGCTCTGCGTGGACCCGCCTGAAGCTCCCAGGACCAGCGTGGGCACTGGCTGGCGCTGAAGAAAAGTCATTCCTTTCTTTCCGGTTTGGGGTGGGGGTGAAGTGGGCACTCTCACTGCTCCCCCTCTCCTGGCCCCTCCCGGTCCTCCTGCCGGCTGGGCACGGGGCTAGTGGAGTCCTTTCCCGCCCAGAGGGGTTGCCCAGAGGCCTGGATGCCCAGGCGGGCGAGAGGGTGCGCCCAGGATTTTGAGGCGGGGCCCTCCCCGCGGGTGCTGGGCCGGGACCCAGCAGGGGCGTGTCCCCACGCTCACCTGCCATTGGGCAGGTGGGACCGCCGGGCCTCCCGCACGGGCCGGACTATAAATGCGGGGCCGCTTGCCGCAGAGCCAGGTGCGTGGCAGGATGGTGGACAGCGTGTACCGGACCCGCTCGCTGGGGGTGGCGGCGGAGGGGCTCCCGGACCAGTACGCAGATGGAGAGGCGGCGCGCGTGTGGCAGCTCTACATCGGCGACACCCGCAGCCGCACGGCCGAGTACAAGGCCTGGCTGCTCGGGCTGCTGCGCCAGCACGGCTGCCAGCGGGTGCTCGACGTGGCCTGCGGCACCGGGTGAGCCTGGCGGGCACGGGGTCCGGGGGAGCGGGGCGCCGCACGGCCGGACCTGGCCTGGCACCTCGGCACAGCTGCCGCCGCCGGGGCCGGGAACCGCGTCCGTCCCGCTGGCCAACAGGCAGGCCCAGCGCGCGGGCGAGGCCGGCGGGGTGAGGGCGCCGAGACCGGCGGAGAGGGAGGGTGGGCACAGCGGGTGGGGAAGACCGCGCGCCCCGCTGCGCCAGGGCTGGGCTTTGGGCCAGGGCGATCGGATCCTGCTCCCGCGTAATTCCTCGGGTGATGGCAATTGTTGACAATGAACGTTTGCTCAGCATGCGCCCGTGCCAAGACCTGTGCCAGGAGCTTTTGAAACGTGTTTTGAAAATCCTCACAAAACCCGAGGAGGTGAGTGCGCGGTGGTATCCCATTTGCAGCTCCGGGAATTCGGCCTCTGCGAGGGCAAGGTCCCCCAGCTGGCCGAGAGGAGAACAGACCAGGGCGGCTAGTGTCTGGCCTGTGCTCTTCTGGGCACACGCTTCTTAGCTTCCAGGAGCCTCCGTTTGCCCGGCTCTCAGATGGGGCACCTCCTCTTTTGTTTGTTTTCTCAATCCTCCCCCTCGAGGGTACATTGATTTTTAGAGAGAGGAAGAGAGAGGGAAAGAGAAATATCGATGTGAGAGAAACACATCGATTGGTTGCCTCCTGCACAGCTGGGGCTGGGCTGGGCAGGAGCCTGCAATCCAGGTACGTGCCCTTGACCGGAATCGAAGGCCAAGGCTCTACCCACTGGGCAAACCCAGCTCGGGTGGATTGCTATGAGTTTTAATGCACATTTGTAGAATATCTGGCTCTGAATAGGTGCTAAAAACCAAACGCAGTGTTGCTGCCTGGCGATAAGAAATACATTTACCAGGTCATTTGATGTCAGCGGAGCGGGCCTAGGGAGAGGAAGTGGAGGAATGGAGTGAGGGGCCTCCTCGCCTTCCCAGGCCCCCTGATTGCCCCTCTCTGCCTCTCACCCCCGTCCTTCCCAGGGTGGACTCCATCATGCTGGTGGAAGAGGGCTTCAGCGTGACCAGTGTGGACGCCAGTGACAAGATGCTGAAGTATGCGCTTAAGGAGCGCTGGAACCGGCGGCATGAGCCCGCCTTCGACAAGTGGGGTATGTGGTCCAGCCAGGCAGGCCCTCCCAGCCCACCACCAAGGACACTGCTCTCTCTCTGCCCTGGGCTCCTGGGCAGGGACACAGCAAAATCACTGTCATTTTCCTTAAAGGGGAGGCTTAGGTGCCAGAATGAGATATCAGGTATGAGGAGCTAGTTTTTAATTATATTTATTTATTTTATATATAATTGATTTCAGAGAGGGAGAGGGAGAGATTGAAACATCAATGATGAGAGAGAATCATTGATCGGCTACCTCCTGCACGCCCCCTACTGGGGATCGAGCCCACAACCCAAGCATGTGTCCTGACAGGGAATCGAACTGCGACATCTTGGTTCACAGCTCGATGCTCAAATCACTGAGCCATGCCAGCCGGGCTTAGTTATATTTATAATGTCTTTCCCTCCCCACAAATAAAAGCCCATAAGCACAGTCCTCCTTTTGAACCATGGCTTCCTCCTCTCTTGACCCCTCCTCCCTTTCACCCTCCATGTCCATAATGATCCCCTCCCTGCGGAGTCCCTCTGTGTCTCTTGAGGGGAAACCGAGGCAGAGCTGCACTTGGTGGAGATGGGTACTGGTGGTACCAGGGTGCCCACCTGATCTCCCCTTCCTGGCCCCCAGTCATTGAGGAAGCCAACTGGATGACTCTGGACAAAGATGTGCCCCAGCCACCAGAGGGCGGCTTCGATGCTGTCATCTGCCTTGGAAACAGTTTTGCTCACTTGCCAGACTGCAAAGGTGAGAGAGGGTGTGGCCTTGGCATGGCCCTTGCTTTGAGCTCTACCCCCTTTCCACAGCCCTGGGCACCTGCTCTCCTGCCAGAGCAGCTATGCTTTCTGCCCCTCTCTGCCTTGGCACTGGCATCCTTGGGTAGTAGAAAGATGGAGGGGAGACTGGTGCTGGGGGCCCTGAGTAGACACAGCCTCTCGCCCCTGCCGGGAGCTCAGGGGACCAGAGTGAGCACCGTCTGGCGCTGAAGAACATTGCGAACATGGTGCGGCCAGGGGGCTTGCTGGTCATCGATCATCGTAACTACGACCACATCCTCAGCACAGGCTGTGCACCCCCAGGAAAGAACATCTACTATAAGGTGGGCCCCTGAGGGAGGGCCCAGAGTGGGAGGTGGGATCCTGGGGTCCAGGCCCCACAGCGGCTGCAGAGACTAATGCAGCCTGCACCACCGCTTACAGAGTGACTTGACCAAGGACATCACGACCTCAGTGCTGACAGTGAACAACAAGGCCCACATGGTGACCCTGGACTACACGGTGCAGGTGCCGGGAGCTGGCCAGGATGGCTCTCTTGGCTTGAGGTATCCCCTTAGCTAGGTGGGGGATGAGTGTGGGGGATGAGTTTGGGGGGGCGGTGCTGAGGCCACCAGTCCTCACGGTTGGCCGGGTCTCTGTTGCAGTAAGTTTCGGCTCTCCTACTACCCTCACTGTCTAACGTCCTTCACCGAGTTGCTCCGAGCAGCCTTTGGGGGCAAGTGCCAGCACAGCATCCTGGGTGACTTCAAGCCTTACAAGCCAGGCCAGGCCTACATTCCCTGCTATTTCATCCATGTGCTCAAGAGGACGGACTGAGCGTGGCCTCAGCTCCCACAACCCTCTGCCCGGGCGTTGCCAGGCTGGGTCTGGGGAGCCCCATGCCAGCAGCTCCACATGAAGATCCTGGCGGTGTGGGGAGGGGCCGACTGCAGCTGGAGTGCAGGGATCTGGGTTCAGCCTAATGTGAAGGTGAACAATACAGTCTGTGCCTTTTTCAGTTCCAGCATGTCTTGTGTTTATGTCGGAAGGATCAGGCTCCTGTGGAGCCCACCCTGCCCTCCCCTGGGCTTACTCTGTCTCGCTCTTCTCCACACCACCACACCAACCACCACGCCACCACGCCAACCACCACGCCACCACGCCAACCACCACGCCACCACACCACCACGCCAACCACCACGCCACCACGCCAACCATCACGCTACCACGCCACCACACCACCCACCATGCCACCACGCCAACCACCACGCCAACCACCACGCCACCACGCCAACCACCACACCACCATACCAACCACACCACCACGCCAACCACCACACCACCAGCAGAGGGCAGCATACACTTTATTTCTAGCTATCCACCTGGCCCCCTCAGGGCCCAATTCCCAGAACTCCAGGTCCCCAACCCACTTCCTGGGCCGATGGGCCTTAGTGCTGGGGCTGGCCTGGAAAAATGGACAGAGGATGCCTCTTGAATTCTCTCAGGCCTCTCCCCCTTGGCACCCAGGGGATCTCCTGGAGGTAGGTAGCCTAGGTGGGTAATGGCAGCCTGAGCCAGAGCCCTCTGCTCTCTCAGGTCTGCGGGGATCCCCAGGGAGCTTTAGCCCCTGTGGGTGGGGAAGGGTCCCAGACTGCAGGAGGCCCTAGCAGGCGGCAAACTTGCGCTGGATGCGCTTGTAGCGGAGCAGTTCCTGCTCACTGACGGAGGGCTCCAGGCGGGCGGCGGCCTGCAGCAGGTCCTCCATGGTGAGCAGCAGTGCTGAGCTCCTGGGCTCCAGCCCTAGGGGGGCGACAGGGCAAGGGAGGCCAGGGTTCTCAGCCTGTCTGGGGAACTCAGGCTCTGTCCAAGCAAGGAAAGCCCTGGGGGAGCGCCTTCTTGCCCAGAGTCCCCGAAACGCCAAGAGTCCCTCTTCTGAAATTTAGAACCGGGCCTGTTTTCCCTGTAGCTTTTCAGCTGACCTCTGGGGCAGGCGGGTGGCTCACCTTCCTCCAGGTCCCGAACCCTGCGTTTGAGGGCAGCTGTCATGGCATCAGAACAGAGGGAGTAGAGGTCCGCACCGGTCAGCTGGGGAGGGCAGTGGTCCAGCACGGTCACCAAGCTCACGGAGGGCTCCAACTTGAATCTGTTGTAGGGACACAGGATAAAAAGTTTTACCCGGCATGCCCTACTCCCTCAAAAGGATACACTCCCTGACCAGTGTATTCTGCACATTACACTTAACCCCTAACCAGACCAAGGCCCAAGCCCTCTGGGAGTCTCCATCAGGGCATACTTGCGTGTGATGGCGCTCAGAACACGGAGCTGGGAGGCACGGTCCTCGCTCACCCCCATAAACACCAGCTTGTCAAATCTTTAGGGAGAGAGGTGGGCACACAGGTCAGGGAGCCCGGCATAAGGGTAAAGGAAGAAGGCACAGGACGGGGCCGAGGGACAAGCCCGACTGGGTCTGGTGGAGGAGAGGTACAGGATGGGCACCTGCCAGGCCGCAGCAGGGCAGGGTCCAGGAGGTCTGGTCTGTTGGTGGCTCCGATCACAAACACGTCCTGAGTGCTGTGGAGCCCGTCCAGCTCAGCCAGGAGCTGGGACACCACCCTGCAAAGGAGGAGCGAAGGGGAGTCCTGGGCCCCCCAGCTCTGCCCTGCCTGCCTGTGGGGCCTCTCCGTGCAGGCCTTCTCCACAGGGCCCCTTGCTGAGCCGTGCCCTGTGCCCCTCCATGCAGGCACCCGTTCTCCTCAATGCCCCACACCCGAAGCCACAGCCCCGTTTAGCTTCCATTATACCGTCTCAGAACCGGAAGGACAGGCACTCCGGGCTCTGGAGACTGCTGCAACCCATCTCGCATCCCTCTGCCCCGGACCCAGGCTCCATTCTGGCTCAGACCCCCACCTGTCCATCACACCTCCAGAGTCTCCGCTTCGCCCCCGGCTTGGGGCCAAGGAGTCCAGTTCGTCAAAGAAGATAATGCAGGGAGCCGCGGCCCTGGCCCTGGCAAACACTGAGGAGAGAGGGACCCACAGGAGGGGAAGCTCAGCGGGGCTTTAAAGTCAAGATATGAGGGAAGAAAACCCAGGCTTGACAATTCAATACTAGCGCTCCAGGAAGTACACTTGTGGAAAGGAAGGCTAGGAACACCCATGAGCAGCCTGAGGGCCGGGGGTGGGGGTGGGGCGCAGGGGCCACTGTTTCAGGACTGGAAGCCCTGCCCACTCACGCACCTTCCCGGACGTTCTCCTCACTCTGGCCCACGTACATGTTGATGAGCTCTGGCCCCTTCACGCTGAGGGAGAGGATGTGGGAGGCAACACTCGTTAGACACCCCAAGGCGATCGGCTCAATCCACCCAGCATCTCTCCAGGCCCCCTGGTCACCTGAGGAAGGTAAGGCTGCACTCAGTGGCCACTGCCTTGGCCAGGAGGGTCTTGCCGGTGCCAGGAGGCCCGTGGAGCAGGAGGCCTGAGCGCCTCAGGCCCAGGCTCAGCAGCTCAGGGTGCTCTAGAGGGAGCTGGATGGTCTCCAGGATCTCCTTCTTCACCTCCTGCAGCCCGCCCACATCGTGCCAGGACACCGAGGGGATCTAGGCGATGGAAGAGCCCGGTTGGGGATATGCCGGAGGACGGAGCTCAGGTCCCACCTCCAAGGGCCTAGAGTCTCTACCTTAGGGGCTCCGATGGCCTGGGAGTGAGCTGACTGCAGCTGCTCCAGGGCCTGCCCGAAGTCCTCCGCCAGGAGCGGAAAGCCAGCAGCACACAGCTCCCGCTCATCCTCCTCACTCAGGCCGCCGGCCAAACTGCAAAGAGAAACCCAGGGAGGTGTTTGAAGGACCTAGCCTGAGGCCTCCCCGCATCGGGGTCCTGTTCCCTCCTCCCTTCCTTACCAGCTCCCACCCACCCATATCTCCTCTTGTCACCTTTGCCCTTTTATACCCAGTTTTCTTACCCAGAGTTCCTGATCCTGGTGCAAGCTGCCCGGCTGCTGTGAGTCAAAAGGGCACAGAGATCTCCTACCACAAAGCCCTGGGAACCACAGGAAAGGACGCATGAACAGGGCACAGTAGGCAGGAACCCTTGGGTGGCAGGCCCTCCAGCCGGAGCTGAGGCCCAATGTTGGTGCCTCGGGGTTTTCTACCCTCACTTGCAGGGCAGCAGGTCTGAGTTCCTATGACAGAGAACGTGGGAGGACCAGACCCTGCCTTGGTACTCACTGCACACCGCCGAGCCAGCTGTGCTAGGTCCACCTCTTGGCCCAGGGGCAGGCGGGCAGTGAGGGCCTGCAGGATGCTCAGCCGTTGCCCCTCTGACAGCACAGGCACCTCCAGCTCATGCGGAAATGCTGTCTGCACGTCAGCAGGCAGGTCCCGGGCCCGGCTTGTGGTGGCTACAACCATCAGTGGAGGGCAGCTGCAGACAGGGAGTGGGGACAGGGAGTGGGGACTGGGAGTGGGGACAGGGAGTGGGGACAGGGAGTGGGGAAAGGGAGTGGGAACTGGGAGTGGGGACAGGGAGTGGGGACAGGGAGTGGGGACTGGGAGTGGGGACTGGGAGTGGGGACAGGGAGTGGGGACAGGGAGTGGGGACTGGGAGTGGGGACAGGGAGTGGGGACAGGGAATGGGAACTGGGAGTGGGGACTGGGAGTGGGGACAGGGAGTGGGGACAGGGAATGGAAACTGGGAGTGGGGACAGGGAGTGGGGACTGGGAGTGGGGACTGGGAGTGGGGACTGGGAGTGGGGACAGGGAGTGGGGACAGAGAGTGGGGACAGAGAGTGGGGACTGGGAGTGGGGACTGGGAGTGGGGACAGGGAGTGGGGACTGGGAGTGGGGACAGGGAGTGGGGACAGGGAGTGGGGACTGGGAGTGTGGACTGGGGGAGAACTCTACTGGCAGCTGAGCACTGCCTTGTCCTGATGCAGGGGCAGGAGGGAGGAGAGGTTGGTGGGTGCTAAGATGAGATAAGGAGATGAGCACCCCAGGCTGCCTGGATGGGCTCCATGGGAATACCTTGAGGGGGACCTGTGTCCCCCTCACACAGGGAGCTCACTGAGGGCAGAGGTTGTGCTTTTCCTTCAACCTAGTGCTCCCCAAGAAAAACTAGGGACCACATCCTCCTCCCCCTGGGTACCCCTAAGCTCCTCGGGGCTGTCAGGAGGGCAGCCGCATTGGCAGTAGACGCTGGAGAAGCCATGGGACGGGTGAAGGCTAGAGAACGAAAGGCTGCAGAGAGGGACGAGGGCTGGGCCCGGCTCTGGATACCTGGCGAGGGGGTCCTCATCGAGGAGGAGGCGACGCAGCGTGGCCACCACACGGGCGTCCTCACCCAGCCCGTCGCGATCCCGGCCCAGAAGGTCCAAGGCTGTCAGCAACAGAACCACAGGCCGGCAGCGCCGGGCCCGGGAGAAGGTGGCCTGCAGCTTTGTCTCCACAGCCCCGCTGCTGTCTGCACAGAGGCTGGAGCAGGGCACCTGGGGAGGCGTCCGGATGGGCCTGTGAGCAAGGGCCAGGTGGGGCTGGGAGGAGGAGTGAGGAGGTGCAGGCCACCTCTCTTTAAGGGCAGGGATGGGGAAAAAGGGACCAGTCCCACCTCTTCTTCACCCCAACCTCATTCCTGGGACCGTCCATCAAAATCTTGAAACCCCCTCCTTGACAGCATCTCTCAGGAGCTGAGCATCAAGGGAAATGGCGACCCACTGGGCTGAGGAGTTAGAGCCAGGCTAGTAGCCAGAAGGAAGAGGGGAGAGGGAGAAGGGAGAAGCTGGGCTGGGGAGGGGAAGCAGTTGGGTTCTACTCTCCAGGTACCCTCACCTTCAGCAAGTGGAGCCCGAGGCGGCTGCAGGCAGCAGCCACTGCTGTGGTCTTCCCACTGCCCGGGGGGCCCCGTAGAAGGACGCTGCCAGTTCCCGTCAGCAGGGCACCCCTGCAACCAGAGCACAGACACGTTTCTTCCACTCTGCCCAAACCTTAGAGTCCCCAGTAACAGGAGAGCCTTGGATCTAGAGCGCAGGCACCCTGTTTCTCTCTCCCTGAAGCTCCCCCGCCCACCCCTGGGCTGTCTCCACACCATTTCCCACGCCAACCTATGGTGCTCTGGCCAGGGCGTGGGGGGTAGCCAGCAGCCAGCACTGATTCCCGTTGTCACCCCTGCTTCTTCCATAAAGCCCTGAGTGTCTGGTCTGGACTGGGCTGGTATCAGGGAAGGGTCTGTGTCTGCACTTGTGTCAGTGGCCTGGAGAGCTGTGTCCCTCCAGGTCAGGGTGGTTGGTGAGGACCGGCATGGCTAGTGGGCCCCCCGAGGGGAAGGGTCGTCTCAGAGACAGCTGCCCCTGGTGGCGGTTCTTCCTCCACTGCCAACCTTGGAGGATGGATGTTATCCCGGGAAAGGAGTCTGGGAATCTGCCTACGGAAAGCACAGGGGCTAGTGGCGTTGGCCTTGTGGTGTGAGGGAGGCTGGCATGCTGGTGTGAGGGAGGCTGGCATGCTGGTGTGAAGGAGGCTGGCATGCTGGTGTGAGGGAGGCTGGCATGCTGGTGTGAGGGAGGCTGGCATGCTGGTGTGAGGGAGGCTGGCCTCCGGGTGTGAGGGAGGCTGGCATGCTGGTGTGAGGGAGGCTGGCATACTGGTGTGAGGGAGGCTGGCATGCTGGTGTGAGGGAGGCTGGCATGCTGGTGTGAGGGAGGCTGGCATGCTGGTGTGAGGGAGGCTGGCATGCTGGTGAGGGAGGCTGGCATGCTGGTGTGAGGGAGGCTGGCATGCTGGTGTGAGGGAGGCTGGCATGCTGGTGTGAGGGAGGCTGGCATGCTGGTGTGAGGGAGGCTGGCATGCTGGTGTGAGGGAGGCTGGCATGCTGGTGTGAGGGAGGCTGGCATGCTGGTGTGAGGGAGGCTGGCATGCTGGTGTGAGGGAGGCTGGCCTCCTGGTGTGAGGGCTGGCATGCTGGTGTGAGGGAGGCTGGCATGCTGGTGTGAGGGAGGCTGGCCTCCTGGTGTGAGGGAGGCCGGCATGCTGGTGTGAGGGAGGCCGGCATGCTGGTGTGAGGGAGGCCGGCATGCTGGTGTGAGGGAGGCCGGCATGCTGGTGTGAGGGAGGCCGGCATGCTGGTGTGAGGGAGGCCGGCATGCTGGTGTGAGGGAGGCTGGCATGCTGGTGTGAGGGAGGTCCGGCCGATAGCACGTCCACCAGGGCATGGGGCACTATTAGTCTGGCCTGCCCCCCTCCGGGGGTGTTGCGACCCCCGAGGCGGCTGCAGCCTCACTCACCCTGGCTGGAGGCGAGGTTTCAGGGCAGCACACAGCTCGGTCACCAAGGCCTCCAGGCCCGGAGGAGATAAGCTGCCCCAGAGACTGGATTCTCCCGACGGGACCCGTGGAACAGGGCTCAGGGTAGAACCCACCTGTGAAGGTGGGAGGAACCTTTAGTTTTGAGAAGTTGTTTCTGCTCCTTTCCTCAGTCTACTACCCGCCCTGGGCCTCACCAAGTACAAGGAGGTATGGGTGGTGTCGGCCAAGTAGGCGCTGGTTGGCCCATCTGGAGCTTCCCCAACTATTTTCTTCACTTTAAAGAACATCTCCTGCCACCTGCAGGAAAGAGGCCCCGTGAGTCCCAGACCCAGACCCACAAAGCCCCTCCCCAAGGACAAGGTGGCTGTCAATCACAGGGGTCCACTGCAGGGACAAACTCAAGAGCAGCACAAATAAATGTCCCAGGTGTGGCGGGGGGATCGGGGGAAGGGAAAGTAGAGGGTCTTTCTTCTTCTTCTTCTTGTAATCCTCACACAAGGATGATCTTTTCCCATTGATTTTTAGAGAGAGTGGAAGGGAGGGGGGAGAGACATAGAAACATTGATGTGAGAGACACACTGACCAGAATTGAGTACATGACCCTTCAGTCCAAGGGCCGACACTCTAACCACTGAGAAAAACCGGCCAGGACTTCTTATTTTTGTTTTTGAAATTTTTTTTGGTTAATCCTCACCCAAGGATATTTTTTCCCATTGATTTTTAGAGTGAAAGGGAGGGAGGGATAAAGAAACAGAGACAGATGTGAGCGAGATGCATGGACTGGTTGCCTCCAGCACATGTCCTGACTGAGGTACATGCCCTTGACTGGGAATTGAACCCAAGACCAGTTGGTGTGTGGGCTGATGCTCTAACCACTGAGCTTACCAGCCACGGCATAAAAATCAATATTTCTAAGATGTATGAATCCATTCAGCAGATTAGTGTTTGCCAGGGGCTGAAAAAAGGAGGGAATAGGGAGTGACTGCTCATGAGTCTGGAATTAGGTTCCACAACCTTGTGAATATACCAAAAAGCACTGAGATGTACATTCTAAAAGCATGCATTTTATGGTATATGAATTATATCTCAATTTAAAAGTTAACATTTTCCTTTCCTTTGGAAAAAATTTGAAAAGACTGCACACGCCCCAGCTTCATTTGATTCTGTTCCAATAGGTCTGCGGTGGGGCTCTGGCATCTGTATTTTTCAAAAGCTCCTCAGTCATAAACAGGGCCAAGCAGGCACTGGCCGGTGTCATAGAGAATTAGGGTTACCCAACCTGCTGTGACTGCTGCTGCAGGGAGCGGTTACCAGCCCAGTTTCTCAGATGACGAAATGATGAACTTTTCCTCTCTGTAGTCCTCAGGCAGCAAGGCAATGACAGAGCTAGTCCATAACCTTGGCCTCGCTGAGGTCCAATCAACCTGCAAATTCCTTTGCTCACAGTGACCCACAGTCACAAAGCTGCCCCCTCTGTGAGCAAAAGGGGAGTGGTGGGAATGCCTCCAGGTGGCAGGGGGAAGCACATCACGCTAGTATTATGAAATTCTTGTAGCTATTACGGTAGGCAGTGATCCTGCTAAAAACTAGGACATAAGGAAAACTATCTTCCTGTTAATCATTCATTATAAATAAACAATGAATGGGTCTACAACCTAGACTCTCAATCAAGCCCAACATCGTGAGTCAGGGTATATATGGCCAGCACTGGGACCCAAGGAGGAACAGCTCAGCGCAGGGGTCGGGGAGACTCCTCTCTTCCGGGGAGGGCGGCTGGACCACTTCACTGAGTACAAGGGTCAGAACTTTGAGACATAACTGGACTCTGCTGGGGAACACTGGGTTGTGTTCCCAGGAGCCAGATGGGAGACAGTGGAGCCTGGCTCCCGTCAGCCTGGTTAGGGAAGTGGAACACAGGGTAAAATCTGTAGAGGTTACACTATCACAGGAGACTCCCTGCAGGGCTTCCCTTACCAAGCTCAGGGGACAGGGCTAAAGCACTCATCCTCACCTGTCCTTGGACCCAACTGTCCTTCCAACCCCGCTTTCCAGGACCTGCTCAGGGGGAAGGAGTATGTGCTCAGCACCCCAAGGAGGGAGACAGACCTCTAGAGGGTTAGAATGGCAGATGCCCAGGAATAGGATTGGCTTGCTGGTCTGTCTCAGGAGGGCCTAGTGCCTGTTCCCCTCTGATAATGCAAAGGGTAGACATTCTATAGTTCTCCTACAGAACGCTGGCTCATAGGCATTTGAGGATGGAAGACAGAAGTGGGACGTGACTGGTACCTGCCAGCCTGGCACTTCCCCCCCAGTCCCAGGTGTAGATTTGCTCTGGGAAAGCTCGAAGAGGCGCCATGTGCTACACAGGGCACTACCGCAGCCCTAGATGTTGGTCAAGAATAAATCAAGCACTCCAGGCAAAGCATCTCTCTCTGGGCAGAGGGCCCAGGCTGGCTGGGCCTGAGACCTTGGTCCTGATGATGCTTAAACCCAAGATCCCGCAAGCTGGTCCCACCACCTCAATGAGCTTTGCCCGAGAGTTGGGTTTGTGCGTCTGTCAGTTGTTCTCCTAGAAAATCGCCACTGGAAATTAGTCCTGAATAGAGGGACTGACTGGGGTACAGGCACTACACATTCTTCCCGCTTCATATAAGGCCACAGCAGTCTCTGAATCCCTTTCCTCACCATTGTACAAGGAGCCTCTGTGGTCAAGAGTCAACAGGAGGAGAAAGGTTGGACTCTTCCTGTTTCAAGGTTCTTGGCTCATTTATACTTATTTCTCATTCTCTACTGAGGATAAGGAAAGGGGGAAGGCCTCTCTAGGCTAGCAGCAATCCCTCGCTCCCCCTTTTGGGACATAAAACTGAACAGCAGCATGTGCACACTCCATCAATTAGGGTAGAAACCAGAGCCTGGGTCTCCTCATGCTGAGTATGGGGGAGGGGGGTTATGGCCCAGACAACGCTGTGGTTGAGAATGGAAAACAAGGAATTCCACCTGGGTCTAGGCCATTCATTGATTTCTCATGCTTTGCCTTACCTAGGACCACCATTCCGTTGGAGGATAAACCCCTCCCAAAGCTAGCAGGCAGTGATTCTTAATCTTTTTTCCGTTATGTGCCTATCGAGAACCTGAAGATTGGAAAATGTACAACAACAAAATGTTCTTATGCACAAAATTATTCCATACCACTTGGGAAGAGAGGACTGTAAAACTCCTGCACCCAGATTATGGACCTTGAGAGCTTGTTTGGAGGTTCTAGCAGGGGAGCAAAGCTACTCGTATACCCTTGACCGAAGACCCTCCTCTGGGGGGAAGGTCATCCTCTTCGACAGAGCATCAGCTTCGGGAGGGACGCACATGGATCGGTGAGGGAGGAGGGGGACACCCGCCTAGCCAGCCAGATCAGCCGAATCAACCCTGGCGATCAATGGGGTGACAGATGTCGCAGCCAGATCGCCCTCACATCCAGCACCCAGATTATGAACCCCAGCTGTGAGAGAGGAGGCAGCTGCATACCTGGGCAGTTTCTCTGGGCTTCCTTCCAGGGTCTCTACTTGCCCAACTGTTGGCACACACAGAACATCCCCTTCCTGGACTGCCCTGTAACACAGCAGTGGCCCTGGTCAGCTCACAGTGGGCGTCAAGAGCATGTGCCTGACATATTTCCCCCCCAACCCCCATCCCCACCATCAACATGAAGACTGCTTCCTGGGGGCCTACTGCCCACCCACAGACCCCAAGCAGTTGTCCAGAGAGCAAGTCTGTCCTAGAATGGGCTGAGGAAATGGCGGGGAGGTGGAAAGGGACCAGGAACCGGGGAGGGGTGAAGCAGGATCCGGCTCTCTTGAGAGTCCTCTCAAATCAAAGCGGTTTCTCCGTTTAGAATGTCCAGATTCACCTCAAGGTCCAGATTTCTCGTCTCCTGTCTGCCTGACACACCAGGAGCCTTCCAGCCACAATATTGCTGAAAATGTGGCTCTTTAAAACCAGAGGCTCCATGGAACCTGGATCTCGGTGTGATGGGACAGGAGAGCAATGGAGGCGAGATGCTATCCTTCTAAAAGGGGTAGCCAGCTAACCTGGGTGTCTGAAAGTGCCGATACAGAACGTGGTCATAATTCCCACTCGTGCTGTAGTGGGGAGAGGACACAATTTCGATGTGTAACTCTTTGGCATACGGAGGCCCAGGCAGCATCGAGCAGCTTCCTTTGTCTTCAGGGGCGCTGGAGCCTTCCGAGTATCTCTGTGAGAGAAATAACCATCACCTTATGACCTTCTCCCAGAGCCAGGCTCTGTCCTCTCTCTTAGCGACCAATATTTCTACTTTCACCCTCTTTCATTCCCATAACCCCAAGGCTGGTGGGAGGGGAGGTCTAGGGGAGCAGAGCTGAACACCTGTATCTTCCCTAGAAAACAGAAACCTCTCCAGATGAGCATGAGGAAAGGGTTTCTGGCTCTGACTTTTCTGACGTTAACTCCAAAAGTTCCCCAGTAAAGAGAACTCCTCTGTGATACCTTCAAGTTGGGCCAGAGCCACTAAGATGGTAGCCATTGAATTCCCACAGTCCTTTGAACGGCACCAGGCAGCCACTGGGCTTGACGTTAAGTGGACATTAGGGCGGACACTCTGAGTTCAGGCGGTGGGAAGAGGATATGATCTCACCGAAGCTTAACGGGTTGGTTCCGCTGAATGAGCTCAAGTCTGAGTCCTCTAGTAGTTTTTCCTCCGTTCAGAAGGAAACCCAGTCCTGGCTCCCATTCATGCGTACATCTCTTCTCGACATCCCATGGCCCTAGTTGGCTAGTCCAGCATCATCTAAGAGAGCTACCCACAGTGACAGAAATGTTCTATATTTACATGTGCCCGCTGAGTACCTGCTATGTGACTAAAACAGGGGTGGGCAAACTTTTTGACTCGAGGGCCACAATGGGTTCTTAAACTGGACCGGAGGGCCGGAACAAAAGCATGGATGGAGTGTTTGTGTGAACTAATATAAATTCAAAGTAAACATCATTACATAAAAGGGTACGGTCTTTTTTTTTTTTTTAGTTTTATTCATTTCAAACGGGCCGCATCCGGCCCGCGGGCCGTAGTTTGCCCACGGCTGGACTAAAACAACCGAAGACCTGAATTTTAACTTTATTTACTTTTAATTCAAGAGTCACAAAGTGGCTAGTGGCTTCCATATTGGACAGTGCTTAATTAAACATCAATCTAGGAGCTTAATTAAACATTAGACTGTATTTGTCTCCCCCCAAAAAACAAACAAACAAAAAAACAGTTATCTTCTTGAAGTAAGTTCCTTAAAGGCAGAAACCAAAAACTTTACTTGGGCCCTAGCTGGTTTGGCTCAGTGGATAGAGCGTCGCCCTGCGGACTCAAGAGTCCTAGGTTCGATTCCAGTCAAGGGCATGTACCTGGGTTGCGGGCACATCCCCAGTAGGGGGCGTGCAAGAGGCAGCTGAATCGATGTTTCTCTCTCATGGATGTTTCTAACTCGCTATCCCTCTCCCTCTCCCTTCCTCTCTGTAAAAAATTAATAAAATATATTTTTTTAAAAAAACTTTACTTGGATATATTTAATAAAATATTACAATTAAACACCAGGCACCAAAGATAATAAAGGGCCCTCCCTTTAAGAAATTTACAATATATAATTGGGGATTCGACAGAGGACATGGGCATTAAAAAGGCAGAATAAAATAAATGCTGCAAAAAAAAAGGCACAATGCTATATATAAGAGGATGTCATGTTAAATTTTTGATGGTGAAATTATGAAAGGCTTTGTGAGGACGGCGGCATCTTTATATGGGCCTTGAAGGAAAGGATGATAGGATTTTTAAGATAAAGGGGAGAAGAACAGGAAAAGAATTTGAAGCCAATTTAAAGCACTGAAGTACCATCCTCCATACTACCCAGCACAATACGGGGTACACTGGCATTTCCACGGACACTTGTTAGGCTGAGCTGATTAACGTGTACCCCTGGTGCTTGGTGCACCTCACACTTCACCCAATAGGAGAAAGCCCTTCCCATGCACCAGCGCACTATGGAGAACGATACTTTGTAGAGAAAGGATCAATCAGGCTGAGACATTAAGCGAAAAGTCCAAGATCTAAGTAGCAAAGGGCCTTTACTTCTGATTAAAACGAAGAGGGGAGAAGGCGCATAAGCATTCCTGGCCTCCGTCCTATGTCCTACCTGGATTCTGAGCTCTCCCACTTCTAGGAGGTCACAGCCGAGGTTAAAAGCCAGAGTGGCAGGCACGAAGGCCAGTCCATCGGCGAGGGGCTCTCCCACCGGCCCAGAGCCGGGTCCCAGCCGCTCAGAAAGGTCCCAGCGAGGCTCCAGGACCTGCACCCTGGCCAAGCGGGGCTGGGAAGCCTTCGAGGACGCTCCGGCCGGGGTCACCCACACCCACTCGCCCTGGAAGAGGCCGAGGCTCCGGAGACAACTCCGGCTCACCCCCAGGGACTCTCCAGTCCCCCCTAGAACGCCCCGGAGTCGCCGGACTGCACCGGAAACCGCAAAGGAGGACACCAAGGGCGGGGGTGGGGGCCGGCTGCCGTCCCCCGTCTCCGGGCCCGGTCTGGACCGCCCTCGGAGCTCAGTCACCGCCAGGCGCGTCCCCGGGCCCAGCAGCCCTTGCAGCGCCGGCCGCGTCTCCAGCACCCGCGGCCCGGGCACGGGCAGGGCCTCCCCGCGCCTCACCAGCAGCGGCCCGATCCGCGGTCCGAGCCCGGGCCCCGGCCAAGTGCCAAGCAACGCCCAGCCCAGCGCCGGCGGCCGCCGCACCGGCCGCGCCCGCACCCGCGCCCCGGAGCCCAGGGCCAGGAGCCGCAGCAGCGCGCGGCTCACCAGCAGCTGCGGGGGCCCGGGACCCTGCTCCTCGACCCCCGCGCCCGCTCCCTCCAGGGCCGCCACCAGCAGCGCCGGCCCCACCGGGCTCTCTCCTGCGGGCCGCAGGGCCAGCACCAGGCCGTGCCCCGCCGCAGGCCACGGGCCCCCGGGCGGCAGCAACACGGCCAACGGGGGTGTCTCGTTGGGGAAGGGCTCCAGGACCCGCAAGACGGCCAGCGCCATGGCGACAGGGACGCGGGGGGCCGGAGAAGCAGCGCGCCTCCCGGAGCCAGAGAGCCCCGCGGCTCCGCGGCGAGCGCCGTTTCCGCTTCCGTCGGGGGCGGGGCGGGGCGGGGCGGGTGGGTGGGGCGTGGGTGCCGCGCGCTTGCTCGGAGGGTGAGCGGCGCCCTGGCTCGATCTGGTTGGTACCTCGATGGCAGCAACACAGTGCGCTGCGGTGGCATAGTCTTTGCGCACGCGTCCTTGGAAACCGTTTCCAGGGATTTGCCTTGCGCGCCTGCTAAGGGAGGCACGTCCTCTCAACCACCTTGCCCCAGAGCATGCGCTTCATTTCTTGAATCATCAATGTTCGGTCAGCGTGCCGCGGGCCAACTCGGCCCGCGGCTGGGGGCTGTGGGTGGAGTGTTCAGGAAGGAGCCCATTTCTCTGTGGAAATCCTACCGTTCCCACTGTGCGAGTGTAGGCACTGAGATTGGGGGTTGTGGGCAGGTTGAAGGAGGGAGTGGTAGGATTATAAAACGGTCTCAGGCGTGCTTGTGGGTATGTAGTGCTGGCTGGCTGAGTTGCTGCCTGTGATCCATGGAGCCCTGGAGTGCTGAGTGCTGCCACACCTGTTCCAACGCATCCTACACAAAACCCACGTTCCAGTGTTTCTTGTCCTGTTTCTTCTACTCCCACCAAACTTGAAGCAAAGACAAAGCAGCTTCGCTTTTTCATCCCTCCAAAACCAGCTGCTCTCTCCCAGTCAATCCTTGCAAACTGGAGATCCATTTTCTGTTTCTAGGGGGGTTGGGAGGGGGGGGGGATAGCAGAGCAGGCAGAAGAGAGTGGTTCAAGGCTTCAGTCATGAGCACCAAACCAACAGCTCTTGTCCCACCTGTACTGTTACTTCGATTTCATACTTGTCTCCATCTCCCTGCTCTGTACACGACACTAGACACTGGTAGGCCACACTTCCAGTTATTAACAAAATATAGGGTGTCCCCAAAAATGTATACATACGCTTTGAATAATTATAAAGGCAGTGTTTATTAAAATACATTTCTTTTTCAAAATTGAGCTATCAGCTGTTAAAGTGTATATACATTTTGGGGGGACACCCTGTACTGTATATGTACTTAGAATCAATGGATTCGTTGGTGGTAACCTACTCGTTCTGGACCTTGCATGCTCTTCCAGCTACTGCCCAACTTTCTCCTTTCCTTTGCAGCGAGCATCTTAAGGCAGTCTTCTACTCTGTACATTATGCGTTCCTAAAAATGCTAGTTGAATATTACATTTACATGTTATAAGGCATTTCCATCCCTAAAGTGATAAGATTTGGAAAAATGTCTGATTATAGTTCCTGGAGGTAACTCTCGTCCTAAACCCGAAATTGCACAGTCCCACATCTTTACAACAGTGGGCAAGAACGTACGAGGTAGCTGAATTTGCATGGATGAAAATTCCTATTTGGTAATTCTAAACTATTATGTGCCTCCGTCCCCTGCCTCCCAGAGGTCCAAGGACTGAAAGGATAGTGGAGTGGGTCCAAAGAGGATATGCTTGCTTTACACAGTAGCAGGCAAGCTCTAGGCCAGTGATGGCGAACCTTTTGAGCTCGGCATGTCAGCATTTTGAAAAACCCTAACTTAACTCTGGTGCCATGTCACCTATAGAAATTTTTTGATATTTGCAACCATAGTAAAACAAAGACTTATATTTTTGATATTTATTTTATATATTTAAATGCCATTTAACAAAGAAAAATCAACCAAAAAAATGAGTTCGCGTGTCATAGGTTTGCCATCACTGCTCTAGGCCTTAGGGCTATGGTACTTCTTAAGGCCTCTGGAATGGGTAAATACATCTGGTATCCTGTCTCAGTTGGCACCCACATGGACACAAATATCCATCCATAAATAAATGTCCTTTCCTCCCAGGCTTTCCCCCCAGCAAATAATGGCTGGCATACAGTCCAATCTGCATTACCTTAAAATTGTATTAGTCACTGGGAGCCAAACACTACTTCTATAAGACTTTCACACCTCTTAGGGATCTTCAACCCACTTTAAGCTTCCTTTTACTCCTCTGAAACTTTCCTGTAAAGATCACCCATAACCTCTCAACTGCAGAATCAAGGTGATGCTGTCTGATCTTGATCTTACTCAGTCTTCCTCTGGAATCTGACACTATTGACCAATTCTTTTAATCCCTTTGCCATTATGACACCAGTTTTCCTCCTACATCCCTAATAGCTTCCTGAAGTCATCCTCAACTCCTCCCTTTCCCTTACACATCCTCCCCACAATCCAGTGAATCACCAAATCCTGTTGATTCTACACATTTCCCAATTCCATCCTTCTTCTCCATGCCCATGGCCATCTATATATACAAAAGCCTAATATGCAAAGAGCCCCCTCCGGAGTTGGACCCACCGGGAGTTTGACCGCTCGCTATGATGTGCACTGACCACTAGGGGGCGTCTCGGAATGAAGGCAGGCCCCAGCTGGCAGCTGCTTAGGGACCCTACCCATGCACGAATTTTGTGCACTGGGCCTCTAGTTGTGTTATAACATTGCTCTCCTGGGCAAGGAGCACAGGCTTATTCTTAAACCTTCTCCAGTTTCTTCATGTAGTCAATCTGTTACTGGAGTCAACTTTCTGAAACATATTCCTCCAGCCCAATCTAGGTTTGTGCAATTTATTACACTGTATCTTAACCATCTGTTTATACCTGTCTGTGAACGTCACCTGACTGGAACTCCCTGAGGGCAGGAACTGATCTTATCCATTAGGACATTACCTTGTGCAGGGTGGGGAGTAAGGGATGTATTTCCCCGAGACACTAAACCCTGAGTTTCCAAGTGCGCAGATCTAGCTGGTTCCCCAATCCCAGGAGATCTGCAGTAGGAACAGGGACCCTCTTCCCAAAGAAGCAACAAACCCGGGATTCTGGTCTCATTTCACCCAGGCCCCCGTCTGCGAGGCTTCCCCTTGGATTCTCTGCAAGCCCTGTCTGGGGAAAGGATGCCATCGAGTCCTCTCCACCAATTAGTGCTACGTTACCCTGAAGAAGAAAGGCACCCCTTCATTTTAGGGCTTCTTTCCTTCCATTCGGACTGGGCAGAGCAGCCGAGTGGAGACAGAGGGCGACCCCCTTAGAAAGGAACGGGCCGCGAAGAAAGGCCGAGGCCGACGTGCCCCGACGCCGCCGGAGTGCGGCACTCGGTCCTCAGCCTGGGCTTCCCCTGACCCCCGCCTCCTTCGCTAAGCTCGACCCACTCTAGGGCGGGACCTCCCACTCGAGCCAATTCTTGGAGCCGAACCCTGGCGGTTTGTACTCTTCTTTTCCAATGAGAAAAAAAGGAAGCAGCTTGGCGCCAATGGCCAATCCGAAGAGGCGGCGTCCGGTTGTCAGGCAGGTTTGGAAGAGTTCGGGCCAATTGGAGGCGCAGACACCGATCAACCCGGGCGCAGCGCGCAGGCGGTGGCGAGGAGACGCCGAGCGGGCCGAGTGCGGCCGAGCAAAGCCGGAGCCGGAGCCGGAGCCGGAGCCGGAGCGGGGCCGCAGGAGCCAGGCCGGGTCCGGACGGGCCGAGATGCCCTATAAACTGAAGAAGGAGAAGGTGAGCGTGGCCCTTTTCCTTCCGCCTCCGCCTTGGGGCCTGCGCGGAGCTCTGGGAGGGGCTCGAGCCAGGCCCGGGACAGCCCCGGGCTGACCCTCCCGTCCGGCCCCCGCAGGACTCCCTGGGCCAGCCCGCCGTCCCCGCTGCCGGGCGCACCCCCGCCTGTGCTGCAGCTGGGAAAGCACCCTCATCTTGCGCGACATCGAGTCCCCCCACTTACACCTCCCGACCTGCCCCGGCCCAGGGTAGCCCCCTCCCTCCAGATCTGCCCCACTCCCTCCCCGGTCACTCCCCGGCTTTCTCTCCCCGCGCCACTCACTCCCCCACCCCCACCCGTTTGCTGGTTCGGGACAGCCCTCATCCCAGGGAGTCCCTCCAGGACTACCCACCCTCCCAGCCCCTTCCCTCCTCTTCCGACCGCCCGGGCCTGCACTGGCCTTCCCCGCCGCTCCCTGCAGCCCCTTCTCCCGCCCTGCCCAGCTCCCTGACCTAGAACAGCTCTGCCTTCTCTCTCCTCCACCGAATCTGGCCTAGGCCCCTCCCTCTAGTTCTTCCTTCTCGCACAAACTTGTGAGCCAGGACTGAGCCTTCCCTTCTGTCCGTGGAACCTCAGAATGTCAGTGCTGGAGGGGACCTCCGAGTGCATTCAGCGCCATCCGGAGTGGTACAGATGGGGAGACTGAGGCCAAGGTCACACAACCTGCTGGAGGCCCAGCTGCACCATCGGGGCTTCCGGCTTAAAGGCCCCTTCCTACCAGAGTCCCCTCTCCCAGGCACAACCGTCTCCCAGGTTCAAACCAGTCCGTCACCATTCCCAGGCTGAGCAGGCGCCATCCCCTAATCCTGGGGTAACCTTTGCATTTTTTATTCTTTGCACAGTATTGGACTTCTGTCTTTCCTGGGCCATACTGTCTGTAAATCTGGAATCTGCCCTCACTATCAGATTAGTTTTCCTTCTTACCCATGGACTAGCCACCCCTGAACACCCTTGCCTTTGTCACGGTGTCCTGACACAGGCTGTTTCTTTCTTTTTTTTTTTTTTTTTTAAATGCTTTATTGATTGGTTACTTTTAGAGAGAGAGGAAGCGAGGGAGGGAGAGAGAAAATTCGATTTGCTGTTCCACTTATTTATGCATTCCCTGGTTGATTCTTGGATGTGTCCTGACTGGGGATCAAACCCACAACCTTGGCGTATCTGGACGACACTCTAACCAACTGAGCTACCTTCCTCGTCTACCTCCGTACCACCTTCCCCTGTTCTTCATCCCTGCCTTTCTCTGCCCTCTATTTCCTGCTGTTGCTGAGATCTGACTCAGAGGTGTGGCTCCTCTGAGGTACAGATTCACACAGAGGATGCTAGAATGCCAGCTCCAGCCTCCCCCAGCTTCTCCTTTCCTGGGCTGGTTCCTCATGGTGAGGGGACAGCTCTGGCCTGGTGTTCTGCACCAACATAAAGCAACCTACTCTACGACCCCAGAGGTGTCATGCTTT